CTTGTGCTCTTTCTTTGGTAATAATTTCCTTGATTTCCACCTTTTGCTTTTCTCCTTCATTTCCTTGATTACGGTGGTTGATTGTGCCTTCAATACTCCCCCTCAAACTAGGCTGTGGTAGTAGGGATGTCAACGAGGCCCTGCGGGGCCGGGGACCCCTTCCCCATCCCCGTCCCCGCGAATCACGAGGACGGGGATCCCCGCGAGGATTTTTGACGGGGGGCAGATTTTGCCCCCCGTCCTCGTTTCCCACGGGGAATGGGAATCCCCGCGGGGATCCCCATTCCCCACCAATTAACATCAAACAGCTCCGGCGACAGTAGCAAAGCAGATGGCTTAGGTTGTTTGGCGGCGGCGGCAGCAGCAGCAGGCTCCGGTGGTGGTAGCAGCAGCAACAGCAGGCCCCGGTGGTGGTAGCAGCAGCAGCAGCAGCAGCAGTAGCAGCAACAGCAACAGCAGCAGCAGTAGCAGCAACAGCAGCAGCAGCAACAGCAGCAGCAACAGCAGCAGCAGTAGCAGCAACAGCAGATGGCTCCTGCAGCAGCAGTAGATGGGTCCGGTGGTGGCAGCCGGCAACAGTAGCAGAGCAGATGGCTTTGGCTGAACAGCAGCAGCAGTGTTGACGACCACTTAAAAATGGGCATTAAGTGTGAAAATATAAAAAGTGAAAGGAGTCGCCACTCGTCCAAATTATAAGGTGGGACAAGTCACCTAAAACAGGTCTGCGTAGAGATCGGGGTTCGGGGGTTCAGTTAAGAGTGAGGAGGGCATATGCGCACCTCACAATCCTCCGTTTAAACACGGTTGCATACTTTAAAAATTGGGGTTTTAATTCAACTTATTTATTATATTTACTTAAGTCTTAAAAAGTAAGTTTGAAAAACAGATGGACCAAATTGTCATATCTTTTAAACTCTTGGACAAAAATAGATAAAGTCAAGAACATGCATGCACAATAAGCACGAAATAAAAAGTAAAGGGATTAATTTGATTAAATTCGAAACATGAAGGACTGATTTGATTAAGATTCACAACATGAAGAATTGATTTGAAAAGAGTTGAAACCCATGGACTGAATTGCTTAATTATAAAAGTTTTGGGTAAAATTCAAAATGAACGAAAATAATTTTAATTATGACCAACATTAAAGTTAATTGAAAATTGAAATTAATTAATCAAGATAATTAGTTTAATTGAATAATTAATTTAACATTAATTAAAATTAATTAATCACATTTACTAATCATTAACTTGAGATAATGAATTATCTAATTATCTCAAATCAAATTCAATAAATACAATTAATTTATTTTAATTAAAATTAATTAATTTCATTAATCATAAATTAAACTAACTCCCCTAATTAATCAATAAAATATGTATTTTTTACTTTTTAACCTTTTTAGTTTTTTTTTTGTTAGATTGGGTCGGGTTGACTCGACCCACAAAAACACAACCCATCAACCTATATAACAGGCAAAACAGATCAAACACCAAACAGAACAAGTCTGGTTCATCTCCTTTCTACCCTTTTTTTTTGTTTTAAAAAAGAACACATTCATTCCAAATAAAAATAAAATAAAATGAAACATCCATTAACATAAAATGAAACATTCATTAACAGAAAGAAAGGGAAAACACAATCATCACACAAAATAAACTGAACATTTTTTTTTATCTTCTTCTTTCATTGATTTTTAGTAAACACATACAAACGTAAATATCATAGAAGCAGATCACGGAAACAGGAGGACAAAAGAAACAAGCACGGCGGAACTTTCTGGGTAACAGATCGGAGTCCGATCTGGCGGATCCCACCCACGAGATCAAGCCCAGATCATTCCCCTCACTGCCTCCCCAAAAAGACTCCTCTGTTGCAGGAAAATACCTAAGATGAAAACCCAAAAAATGCACAATCTTGCTCAGCCCAGTGATCCTCCCGCTGTCCTCAAGCAACACCTCAAACTCAGACTGGAAAGAGAACAACCAAGAGAACTTCTCCGAAAAGAAAAACCCTCCAAAAGAGAAACCCGCAACCAAAAAAAGAACCCCTCTCTCTTTACCGGTCCTTCCTATTTATACCCCTTCAAACAAAACCCTAACTCCCCCTTCACTCCTCATCCAAACCCCTCAATTTTTCTCTTTTTTTTTTTGTTTTTTACCGTTGCTCGGGTGAGGCCAAAACTGGCCCTGCAGGACAGCCAAGAAAGCTGGAGCGTGATGTCATCCTGCAGGTTTATCTCATGCTCGGTTGATTGCCACATAGGCGCAGGATCTATCTTTGCAGCTGCAAGATCTGGTTGCAGAAGAGGGGCGGCGCAGAGAAGGGGCTGCAGGCTGTTGTAGGCTCGAGGGGTGCAGGAGAAGGGAGGCGGAGTCAGCTGCAGCAGCAAAAGGGCGCAGGCACCAGGGGGCGTGGGCTGCTGCAGGCTCGGGTGCAGTGGCAGAGGGGCGGAGTCGGCTGGGTTGCAGAAGAGAGGAAAGATTGATGAGGAAAGATTGATGGGGAAGGAGAAGGTTCCAGATCCCCTTTTTTTTGTTTTTTTTTTTTTTGGATAATTGGGTTTTAAGTTGAAATGGGTTGGTATTGGGTTGAGTTTGGGTAATTGTGGGTTTTGGTTTTTGGGTAATTTTTGGTTTTTGGGATTTTGGGTTTGGGTAGTTGGTAGGCTTTGGGTTTGGGTAATTGGGCTTTGGTTTGGGTTTGATGGGTTTTGGGTTAGACTTTGCATTTCACCCCTCCAACTTTTAATTTCTTCAATTGAGTCCCTTCTTTCTTTTTCTGGAATTTTCCAATTTCCTTTTGCATGTAGCACCTGAAACAAAATAAAGATATATTAGTCAAAGGAAAGGGAAATTTTCATACTTTTTTATTTTTTATTTTTTTCTTGCTTTTGATAAAAATTTGAGTTATGACACTCTCTAACCTTCTTCAGATCTGTTACGAACCATATTTATAGCCCCTTGCTCGAAAATAGCCATTTCTAGCCGTTGGGGGTCATTAAATGCCCTGTAGGACACAAAGCTCGAGTTGCAGGATTGTCAGGAGAGCCGGCTTAACTTCTTAGAGCCGGCTCTGCTTACACTTCCAGAGCCGGCTATCCGGGTTTGCAAACCATTCTGTTTTCCTCGAGAGCCGACTGCAAAACTTTGAGCCGGCTTTGGAACTCTGACTTTAAATACATTAAATAATCTTCAAATAACTCGACCATTGTGCATTAAATGCATCCTCACAGTCGGCTGCAAAGTTGGAGCCGGCTTTCCGTCTTTTCTCCACGCGTGCCAAACAACGGTCTTCAAATTTTTGCCCGTAGAGCCGGCTGCAGCTTCCAGAGCCAGCTCTCTGCGCTTCCAATTCACCAGAGCCGGCTGCAGCTTTCAAGAGCCCGCTCCCTGCAGATATTTAAGCCTTTCTGGTCCATTTTTAAGTGCAGTCCAAGTTTACTTATTTTGCAATCTTTCGACATTTTAACTACACACTTAAATGAACCAATTAGTCACTCAAATGTGTTTTGTAATCATCAAAATCATAGGTACAACATAATCCAGCTTTGCGTAGAACCAAATCGCCGACCTGAAACTGGCGTGCTCGAACTCTTTTATTATAAAATTTTATAACACGACTTTGATGCGCCATGTTTCTTATTCGAGACATCTCCCTAACCTCTTCTACAAGGTCTAGGTTCTCTCTTAAAAGTTGCTCATTATTAAGATTGTCATGGCGATCTGATCTATCAGATGGCAATCCGACCTCAATAAGGATGACGGCCTCTGCTCCATACGCTAGGCTGAATGGGGTTTTGCCTGTGGTCGAACTGGGTGTAGTGCGACATGACCGAAGCACTTTATTGAGCTCGTCAACCCAATTAGAATGTGCAACCAAAACACGCATCTTGAGGCCTCGCAAGACGATTTTATTGGCGGACTCGGCTTGTCCATTTGACTGTGGAGTATACACGGATGTCAAGGTGAGCTCAATGCCATAGTCGTTACAAAACGACCTCAGTGCCGTGGCTCAGAACTACGGACCATTGTCTGCGATGATCCGTTTAGGAATACCGAACCTGTACACAGAGGACCGAGCTAAGCCACAAATTATATTTGCATATAATGTACCAATGATTTAAGTCACCAAAGAATACCTGCACAATATTGAATTGAACAAGAATTCTTCTATTTTCTTTTCTGTTGTCATGGACAATGGTTTAGCTTCTATCCATTTGGTGAAGTAATCCACCGCGACAACAAGGTAGGTGCAACCTCCTTTACCTTTCACAAAAG